GAGAGAGAGAGAGAGATTCCAAAATGAAATTAACAGCTATAACTGCCAAAATAGGAGAGAGAGATTCCATAATTTATGAAATCAACAGCTGTAACTGCCAAAATGGGAGAGAGAGATTCCAAAATGAAATTAACAGCTATAACTGCCAAAATGGAGTTGCTAACTATTTGAATAGGACCATACCTTTGCAGAATTTGTCAAAAAAAATGATAACAAATACAAACAACTGAAAAAACACATTTTCTTCTTAATCTTTTTCCTCCTTCACGATGCTAACGGATTGTGATTCTATCAGTAGTCTAGCATATTCACGCTGAACTTCTTGAAGCTCATGCTCAAGCTGCTGCACCTGCAATTCATGAACAATATAAAAAACATATCATTTCTAAGCAATCAGTATGAGTTAATCAAGTTAATATTGATCAGTTGAAGATATTACCGTGTGCTCTAGCTCTTCACCCTGCTGTTCATATTCCAAGCACCTGAGAATGAGAGATCCATTATGAGAACAGAACTAAATCAAGAATACGACAGAGAATGAACTAGAAGAGTCGTAAGGCTTTATACGATGAGCAAGCTTAAGAGAGAGAGCGAGATGACAAAACAAGTGCACAGACTTCTACCAAGAGCTCATGGTTCAGGCAACAACTGCTGAGTTAACAATTGATTTATGCAACTTTCAAGAAAATACCAGTCCAACTCTAGTCTGTATTCTTAAGGAATGTTATAATTGGAAACAAATTAAAGGGGAAAATGTAAAAGAAGCGGGGGGAGGGGGGGGGGGGGGGGGGGGGTGGATTTCTGCTGAAACATGCTAAGATCAGACACTATACTTACAAGGCCTTTAGTTTCTTAGATTCTTTCATTAGTTCTTGAACCTCCTGAGAGTGCATTTGATCTTCAGCTACATCGCACAGCTGCCAGAAAAGGAATAGCTAATGAGGAAAATTGAGATGACTTCAGGTGTTTCCACAGTATCAAGAACCATCAATTAAGAAAAAATCCAGAAAAACCAGGAATCGAACTTCCAAATTTCACACAGTTTGACCTGATTTTCAGTATTGTTCAAGAGACCCCATATTTCAAGAATTAAAAATTAAAATTAACAACTCAATACAGAATCTTGGAGCCAAACATGGCAAAAGAGAGGGTTTGACATCTCTGTCTAACCTCAATGTCATGATCATTACTACTGCCACCATCATCCCCAGCATCAACTGCCTGTCGTTTGGAAGACTCGGGCCCCACCAAACCATCCCCAACTTTTCTCTTAGCGATCAATCTTGAATCAGTACAATTACTGGCAGAGGGAGCAGCGCATGCCATAACTACAGGTTGTCCCACACCATGTTGTAGACCCCATATGTTTTCCTCCCTTGGGGAACTAACAATATGATTTCTTTGAGAGGCCGGAGGTGCTTGGGTTGATCTCAAAGGAGCAGTATCCAGCAAAGTGGAGGTGCAATTGGTAACAGATTCAAGGCTTCCGATTATGGTCCTGGTGGACTGTACCATTTTTGAGCGAGACTTTTGCACACGATGATAACCAATCAACCCACAATGTAAATTCCTGTTGAATTCATCAAAGAAAGATTGCAATAGTTGATGCAATACCCAAGAATCGTGGTTGCTAAAGTACTAACATCCAAATCCCACAGTAAACAGAAAGATGGAGAAATGCACTTGCTTAAACTCTGAACATATACATCAAATCTACCATTCAAAGTTGTTACATCTTCCTTCGACGTCTCACAAGAGCAAAAAAGATGGAAACTTGAATATCTACCCAAAACCATTACACATATTTTCATGGATAATGCACAGATATAAGATAATGGTAGATAGACTCCTTTCAACTATTATTTGTAAGTCCAAAGTTTCTAGAAGTCTATTTAGCTTCACATGTACTGCACAGTTAACTAATGGTCATGCATACGAAGCAATAGATGCTAAAATATATCACAGAAGATTATCAAAAAAATCCCAAAAACCAAACTCCAAACACCGTTATTCTATCAGTAGGGTTTCAAATGCCTAATTCCTAAAGTTGACTTCTCACAGTTAAAAATGAGAGAAAACCAACTCTCATTGATGGCAGTTGATATAATATTCTCATTAGTTTTGGTTAGAATTTAGGGAAAAACAGTTGTTTGGCATAATATTGTACAGCATAAAACCTAGTGATCCTTTGCATAATCATCAGGGACCACTATGACATATTCTAGTTGTAATTTAGAGAGAAAACATATTGATATCCTCATGCAATATCTATAGTTCGAATCGTCAAGAAAACCTAAGTTTAGTCATACATAGTTTGTACCTCACTTCATTCATCAAACTGTGAACAATGAAGCCCCATAGAATTCTTTGTTCCTTTTTCCTTTCTCTTGTTCTTAGAAGCTCTTTTATTCCTCAACCCTCATTTCCTTTTCTGTACTCTTAAGTTTGAATGTGTCCCATGTTAACCACATTTTTTCCCGGCTTCATCACACGTGCATGCACATGCACCATGCACAAGCACATGCACATAGACACAAACACACACACATTCACACACACACAAGTGCATGCACACACACATATCCATGAACAACAACACAAACTAGAATTTCAACCCAAAGAGACAAAACACACCCTTTAAGAGTAACATACATTATAGTCATATGTTCATAGTTGTTGGAAACGATTCCAAATTTTAACCGTTCTAGGAATTGGAATCGCAGAATCATGGCCAGCTAGAAGATTCATGTTTTCATAATTGACGTCCGTACAAGAGGAATCACGATTCAACCAAAATGGAATCGAGATCCCTACATAGATGGAGTCGAGATTCCTAGCCCTATGAAGTCGAGTTTCTAACCTATTTGGAATCGACCAATATGGAATTGAGATTTCTTTATGGAATCAAGATTCCTAGGCATTTGGAATCGAGATTCATACCAGTTCGGAATCGAGATTCATAGCAGTTTGGATTCAAGATCGAGATTTGTAAACCCCCTATAATCAGGCATTAAATATATCACTACCCATTTTCATAAAGTAGCCACCGATAGATCATCAATTAAGAGAACACCTGGTCCAATTTACATTGCAGAAATCTTGTACACCAAGATGATCATGACTGGTATACAGTAGCCCTCCCCCTATAGTAGATTTTAAATATCGTAAAATGCGATAAATAACTTCAAGTGATGGGAGAATGGTACCTGCATAAACTAACTCGCCAAGCTTACAGTATATGCAATGTCTGGCCGTGTGACAATCAAATAAATAAGTCTACCCACTAATCTCTAATAGGGTTACTCAGAGGCTCCGATAGTCGATCATATAGTTTGTGATTAACCTCTATAGAAATTCTACGGGTTTGGCTCCAAGCATTCATGTGTCATTTGAGGAGATCAAGAGTATACTTCCTTTGAGACAAAATAGACTTAGCGACCCCTACTCCAAGTTAGTATTTCAATGGACCAAGATCCTTGATGCCAAAAACACCTCCTAGGAACTCTTTCACTTTTTGAATTTCATGATCATTATTTCATGTGAGCACAATATTATCTGCATACACTATCAATATTGTGGTAGAAAAATATTCACTCTTTCAACAAATACATAATGATAAAAAACACTCCTTTGAAATCCGAATTGACATATTGCGGTACTGAATTTCCCAAAACAAAACCGAGGCAACTGTTTCAATCCATATATAGCTTTCCTCAACCTGCAAACCTTCCCTTCTCCCCTGGAGCATAAAACAGATGGTAATTCCATCTACACATCCTCTTGCAGATCTCCATGGAGAAAAACATTCCTCATGTCTAGTTGGTGGAGTGGTCATTCCTATTTGCTGCAATAGTTAACAGTACTCGTAGTGATTTCAACTTTGCATAGAAGCAAAAATTTCCTTATAATCAACCCCATATAACTATGTAAAACCCTTAGCCACTAGACGAGCTTTGTATCTCTCAATCAAACTATCTGGTTTATGCTTCAAGGTATACAACCACCTGCATTCTACCACATGTTGTCTTTACGGCCAATCAATTATATCCCTTGCAGATCTCCATGGAGAAAAACATTCCTCATGTCTAGTTGGTGGAGTGGTCATTCCTATTTGCTGCAATAGTTAACAGTACTAGTAGTGATTTCAACTTTGCATAGAAGCAAAAATTTCCTTATAATCAACCCCATATAACTATGTAAAACCCTTAGCCACCAGACGAGCTTTGTATCTCTCAATCAAACTATCTGGTTTATGCTTCAAGGTATACAACCACATGCATTCTACCACATGTTGTCTTTACGTCCAATCAATTATATCCCTAGCTCACTGCTGCTCTAAGGCAATCATTTCCCTCAATCATGGCTGCTTTCCACTGTGAATGAGCCAATGCATCTGCAACTTTGGTGAGAATAGAAACAGAGGAAGTAGAGAAAAGGTAGGCACGAAAAGAAGGTGAGAAAGTGAAGCATACGAAACAAACTTGCTGATCGATTCCTTTTTTCTTTTCTCATGGAAATTAGTTAAATTGAATTTAGGAAGTATAAGGGTAAGAGGAGAAGAAGTACATGACGAGTCAACAAGTTGGTGGATCATTTACATCATACTTTCCCTTGTCTTTTTTCCGGGTGTAAACTTTCAGCTATTTCTTAGTGGATTGCACCTATTCCTTGTTTGGATACTGAAACTATTTGTGACCATTGGAAGAGGAATAGGATTGTCAGGTGGCATAGTGCATATCGAATCTCTTTGGGAAGAAGAATAGGCTATATTCCCAAAGAAGGTAACATCCTTTGAAACAGATTTTCTTTAGTTTCCGCCCAATAATTTGTATCCTTTCTAAGAGTTCGAGTATCCTAGGAACACGCATATGGTAGATTGAGGGCCTAATTTATTCTTAACCAGCCCCAGTGTATACACAAAGCAAACACAACCAAAGCGTTTTGGTGGAAGAGAAAACAAAGGAAGTGTATGGTGAAGATGTTTGAAAAGATAAGAACCATCAAGAATAGGTGTAGGCAGTCTATCGATCATTTAGGGAGCAGTAAGAACTGCTTTATCTCAATATGTCTTAGGAACCTTCATTCCTATTAAGATGCCTCTCACCACTTCTAACAAGTCTCTATTTTTCCGTTCTACCGCACCCTTCTATTGTGGTGTATATGAACATGATGCTTGAGTTTCTATACCATGTTCCTCAAAATAAGTCTTTAATCCGTGGTTTAGATACTCTCATGCAATATCAAAACGGAAAATCTTTATTTGGGTCTCAAATTGGGTCTGAACCATTTTATGAAATATTTTTACCATTCAAGGTACTTCATCTCTACTTTTCATAAGACAGATCTAGGTATAACAAGAGTAATCCTCGATGAATGAGATAAAATACCGATATCCAAACACAGAAGGGATAGGAGCAGGTGCCCAAACATCATAATGAACAAGATGGAAGGGCTTAGAACTTTTATTTTCACTAGTAGAAAAAGAGGTTCCTACAATGTTTAGACAATTGACAAGTCTCACATTATAACTAAGGCACATTCAAAGAAACAAACTTATTTGGAACAACAACTTTAAGGATTTCCGAGACATGTGGCCTAAGCTGGTGTGCCACAAGAGGACTTTCTCACGACTACAAGACTCCGTGCTAATAGCAGTAGAAGTGCATCCCATGTTAAACAAGTACAACCGATTGTCTTCACGACCACCACCAATCGTCTTCCTCCCTTTCAGGTCCTGAAAAACACAATGTGGGGTAAAATGTGACACTGTAATTTAGTTGTTTTGTCAGGTTCCTAATAGAAAACAGATTGGAAGGAAAACAAGGAACATGTACTATAGAGGGTAAGGAAAAGGATGATGAAAGTTTATATGTATCACTCCCAGAGGCATTGGTCATGGATCCATCAGCAAGTCTAACTTCACTAGAAGTAGGAAAAAAAAGACAAGAAACCGATTTTCTTACTAGTCATATGGTGAGTGGCCCCTGAATCAATGATCCAGGGTGTAGAAAACGTGGAGTTCGAGGCATGGTTTGCAGTTGCATATGTACCTAGTTGCTCTACTAGTGTTTGTAAATCTTTGATAACTGATCTCTTGGATCGGATTCATTGTGTTGTGTGGCTAAGATTTCCTTCTCCTCCCTTGATACAGTATGGGCACTTGCACTCCTTGGTTTCAATCTGAAGGGTGGATGCAAGTTCTAACAGTGATCTTGAGTGCGTCTCCTCTTACCACAATGGCAGCATTTGAGTTTTTCCTTTTCGGCAGAAAGGCTTCCTTTTTGTGTGGGATAAGTTAGTGACTAGGATTTTTTTTGTGCTGGAGATGGAAAACGTTTAGGACAAAAACGACTTTTAGCAAAGGAAAATGAGATAATCTTACTTGGAATATGAGGTTGCTGATACACCATAACTTCAAGCCCAAGAAAGCAAGAAAGTTCATGACTCTAGGGCTGCTGTAAGTCATGGATATCCTAGCCCTAGGGTTTCAAGACATGCTTTGATACCATGTTAAGATTGAGAGAGAGAGAGAGAGAGAGAGAGAGAGAGAGAGAGAGAGAGAGTATATATACTAGTAATAATAATATAGTGTTACTTACTACTACTAACTAACGTACGTACGCTACTCTACCTACCTATATACTACACTATACTTACGTAGTACGGTACTA